CTGGCTATATTAATACTATTTAAAGTAATATTAAAATAAAAATTGAATATAATAATATAATTTTTAAAACAAAAAAAAATTTAAATAGTATATTATAGTAATATAACATTTTTTTTTGATGTTAAAGTAAGGTATTACTCATGATCTTTATTAATAAAGTAAAAATTTAACTTGTTACATAATTAATATTAAGATATAAATTATATCACTATAGATATTAATCTATCACCCATTAAACAAATATATCATCTGAAAAATCCTTGAGCAGGAAAAACCTGAGGAACGATTTGTTATGAAAAATAAAAAATAAAAAAACATTTGGGGCAAGATCGCTGGCATTGTAAAACATTTGGATAAGAAGAAAAAGAAGGAGAAAATTGAAGCTTTTGTTAAATGTGGTTCCTGAACGCAATTAGATGTTTCAGTCGGATGACGGCACCACACAAGCCATATGTAACTCAATGAATTTGGTCGTGTGATATTTTGTGGAGTTGTTGCTGTTGTGGAATTTGGTATGTTGTGGTGTAAATAATAGGATAACTGGAATGCGTTTCAGATGTCTATTATGTTGTTTTGGTGGAGTGTTGTGTATTGTGATTACCGGAACCCGCACAGGACACTGGTCACGTGCTCTCCCAATCCAGTAAGTTGTATTGTTTTGATGTATGGAAGTGATACGAATTATGATTGGAGTTTTATGTGTTGTAGATCATTTGATGGGGGTAAGCTGGTTGTGGTTTTTGTATTGAAATTTGTGGACGAGGACTGGTAACTAGCCAAAAGATTATGTAAAATCTAGCACTAGTTATCATCAGCAGAAAACAAAAAAAACTCTAAAAAAATAAAATGCTGCCTCTTGAGAATAGGATTGTTTTTGAGTTGAAGATAAGAAATGTGATTGTTTTATAACGGTTATGTTTAGAGATGGCCTTCACATAAAAAATTTTCTTTTTATTCATCTTCTTTGTTCCAAGTTATTGCCCAGTGCCGTTACCAGTCACTAGACCTCTTAGAGCAGGCTCCATTGCTGGAAACCCCAGGGGCCAATCTTATTCTTGAAACCCCCACTGCTTTAAATCAGCCCTCCAGTTTATGTCCCCTCCCAAAAAGACATATTCCACTAGACAAAGTTCCTTAGAAGAAAGAAGCTTCCTAAAAAGGCAATTTTCTACAGATGGAGATGTTGTGGGAAAGATTTTTTTTTTTATGTATTTAAAATACTTGTTTTTTAAAGAATTAATGATAATTAATATTAAGTAAATTTATAAAAAATTGAGTTATAGAAACAAACAAGAAAAATCAAAATCAAAAATCATTATATTAATAAATATTTATAATATTATAAACAATATAATTCCTATATATCAGTAAATGAGTTTAGTTTTGAAGTAATGACAGACTTGGTAATATTATTAACAATATATATTTTTATTACAATATTTTTTTACAAATATTAAATATACAGTATATTTATTATTTGATTTATATATTATTAGTCTAATAAAAGTTATAAAATATAGTTGTATACTATAATTTTTATGTTATATATTCTGAAAATACAAAACATCAATAACATCAGCATAAAAAATATAATTCTAGAATTTTAGATACTTATTTAATAGTTTATTTTAGTTTTAATAGTCTATTTTCTTTTAATTATATTTTTTCTTATATTGTTAATATAAATAGCAATACTATTGTAAAAGTGAAAATAATAGAATGGGATAGCAATAATTATAACATAAATAATAAAGAAGTGATTGATAAAATTGAATACTTAAAAAAATATTTAATTAATAAATTTATATTTTTAAATATATATCATTTAATTTTTATTATATTAAAATGTAACTTGGAAATATAAAGAGAATAATTGATATCTTCTGAGACTTCCAAAGAGGCTGAACAAATCATCATGACTATTAATTAAATACTTCAACCAGACAATAACCAATCTTTAATTTCAAACATATAACAAGTTGTTGAATTGTTATGTGGCATTATAGACAAAATATTTTCAGTTTCCAATTTCTCTAACTGGGTTGAGACAGTATCAGAAGCCCTGATTCAGCTGTATAGCTTAATCTGGAAACCTTATTACTCAATAGCCAATATCTCACCAATCACAAGAATTAAGTAGAACTTTAACAACAAATCTTCTACTCCATCTCACTTCGTCAGAACTACCCGTACTCATAACTTACAAGACGAAGTCTCATCTACCAACATCTCTTTACAAGAAATTACTGTTGACTTATCCACTATAGTTACTAACTCTTTTATTTACTGTAAATATAACTATATCAAATGTATTAGAAATCTAATCTCATAATTGGCTGATTTCTTCTCCCCTAATATTGAGTAGGTATTTATAGCTGCTCAGTACTGCTTGGCAAAATATATTGTTTTAAATTTTCTTTTCAATATTGGTCAAGTAGTTGCTATAGGCAGGTTAGCATTTAACTTATTACAATAGTATATGAAAAATGTTGTTTTTTTACAATATATACTCTGACATATACAAATCAAATAAAGAAATAATATTTATCTACTTTAAAAAAAAAAGAAGAAGAACTGGTATTAGAAATAAAAGGAAAATTTATTAAAAGAAAAGTTTCTTGATTAAATTAATCTTATATATTTTGACTTATTTTTAGTAATATCAACTATAGTTCTGAAAATTGAAATTGAACAGAATTGCAGAAAATCGCATAAGATTTGAAATACATACTATTAAAAATAATATGGAGTATACCCCATCTATTAAATTTAATATAAACTTGAGAATCAAGTATAGAATTGAAGAGAATTGTTAGGATCCTTAATATTAACTTTGTTTAATGAAGTGATTAATTTGTCATTTTTCAGCTTAACAATATTTAAAAAATATATTAATTTTTGATTTTTTTTAAAAAAAGTTTTTTTTTATCATATGAAATTTAAAATCTTTTTTTTAATTGATTAAAAGTATTAAATACAAGACTTTATTAATAATTATATATTTTATTATTATATCAAATATCTTTATAAACTAAACTATTGTTATCCTAAAATATAAATTAATATTATTTAGTAATTACTGTTTTCAATAGTACTGGTTCTCCTTAAACCACTTGATTACCCTGTTGATTAATTTTTAAATATCAAGTAGGTGAGCCTAGGATTCCTAACGATAACATTTTGGTACCAAGTTGGTACTGGATTTACTATAGGTTTAATATAGTGGGTCACACCCTATATATTAACTTTATTATAAGTCGGTACCATTTTGGTACTCAGTTCAGAACTCTAGGTGAGCCTGTGTTATATAGGACTTATACAAGTGAAAGAAAATTCTATTACTAGTTTAAATATATTTATTTTATTGATTCAATTATATTTTTTAACTGTTTGCCAAGGGAAAATCATATAAAATGTTATTATAGTGATTAATTCTAATTATTTTAATTATATAATATTATTTATTCTTAGAATGTGCTATTAGCATAATAAAGCATTACTATCTTTACCACTTGTGAAATGACATTTTTGCTTGGATTCTAATTTAATCTTGTATGGTTCTCACTAGATACACTTGGCTTAACAAATAAAATTCAAAGCCTTTTGTTTTTATAAGATTAATTCTTTAATAAATAAATAATGGTTTTTTTTTGTTTAAGAAATTTCTAAAAATATATCTATTATAATAGGTGATAAACTGATATGTATATAGTTATAAATGTTTTTGTTTATATATCTTATACCTTAATATTAATCATGTAATTAACAATTATTTTTTTAATAAAAATCATAATACAAATTTAATTTAATATTTAAAAATAATATCTGAGTAAGATACTATATAATATTTAAGAAAAGTTTTTGATTACCATATTTAATAATACAAACATTACTTTTCTTTGAATAAATTAGATATTCTAATTATTTTATTTGAGTAGATGAAGTTCTTGTTTAAATATAGTTGAATTATCTTTATAATACAAAGAACCAAAGACATGTAAAAAGTTGAATTAATTTTATAAGATCTAAACATTTCATATAATTACTTTTTTGTTCATTAAGTAATATTTATTTATTAATATTTTTTTTGATTTATATGATGATAAAGAATTAAATAAAATATTTTTGGGTAAGTAAAAATTCGCTCATTTATATTCCATAATTGAAAAAAAATACAAAAAACAAGCTTATTTGTCAAAAGTTTTTTTTTGTTAGTATGCATTTATATACCGATTTTTTTTTTTGATCAGAGATTTTTCTTAAAAATGACATTGTAAGAGTCGTCCACGAACCTGTCGCTACAAATTAACAGAATTCGTGGACTGTTAATCAAGGCACTTGTTCTAAAAAGTGTGAGGCGGGTTGATTTGGTCGAGGATAAAAATAATTAATTTTATTAATCGATGCATTAAAAAACCGTTGTCTTTATTAACATAATATTTTTTCTTTTTTATACTTTAGTTATTTACATCGTTTAAGGGTGGATATGCTACCATGAATCAATAACGATTATTACATAATTCATTTTTACAATCCTCCCTCTATTATTAGATAATCGCGCACCATCATCCAACAACAGTGGCCCGTCGCGGAGATCGGTCATGTGACTAAAGTCGAGTTCTTGTTACAACATATGTTAATAATCAACAGAGTTTAAAAATGACACGAAACATGTACCCCATTTTAACCGCGGCTCAGGGGTGCGATTACAACATAATGTATGCTTTTACATATTATACAGTATATACTTTTAGTGGAAATTTAGATAACAAAACTAAAATACACTACTATATCGATTAAAAATCGGAGTGAATTTACTTTATTGATTAACCAGGCTCACTACTGTATATACAGTAGCATTATATGATCTAAAGTATATAAATAGTTATCTTGCAAAATTAATTTAATCAATGAACATGTAATAAGTAATATCTATATGAATTCTATGAACTCTATCAATATTGCATTAACGTTTCACACCACCATTAAGACGTGAAGAATTAGCAGTGAGTAATGCTAAAAGCATCTGAAATATATATCTCTTGAGGTTTGTTAGGGCGCGTAAGAGCAAAAACAACATTATAGCCTCTACTATTGGTAACATTCCCCCCAGGTTTAGGAATTGTAACAGTTTTATATCCTGGCGAAACCGGAACATCGTTCGCAGCGGGAGCAAATTCAGAAAAACCTTCTCCCCCAGATACACTCAGAAAGAAAACATCAAATTTAAGACCTTTATATAAGTTAAATGCTGTAATTTGAAAATTTGAAAATTATTTTAATATAAATTTCATCGAAGAATCAATATTTAGAATTGAAAATACTTACGATTTTCCCATTTGACAGCGATACTTTTACCACACTAAAAATAAGAAAAAAAATATTTATTAATACTCAACCTGAATATTAAAATCTTCAAATTTCAACGAATATTATAAGAGAAATTATCCCATACCTGTGCTTTGACGTTACAATCTGGTGAGGTAATAACTAACCCGAATTTGGGGTTACCGATAAAAAAGGTTGCACTGCTGGCTACAAACTTATCGTCTGTAATTATGGCAATGTTGTATTGAGCATCAGGCTTGAGGTTTTTTGAAAGCTTATAAGTGAGTGAATGGCAAGGCTTTTTTGCTAGAAGAAAAATAATTTAGTCAAGGAAACCTGTCGTATTTCTTGTTAGCAATAAAAAGTATTATCTCTTACGTGCTAATGTGACATTTAATTCAAAGGTTTGTACTGAAGAGAAATAGCCATTATAAAGGGTTATATTATCGATTTTAGTGAAGCTAGGATCAGAGCAGAAGGTAATAGTGATTTTATCGCCAGCTTTGTATTTGCTTCCCGCGTCTTTTAATAATATTATAATATTACAATATATTAGCTTTAAAAATTATAAAGAAATTGGTAATAAACGGGTTTTAATACCTGGTTTGATAATTTGAACACCAGGAACAACGGCAGAAGCAGAGGAAGAGGTGATGGCAATCAAAAAGATGCCTAACAAGATAATCAATTGTTTAGCAAAATTCATTTTAACAATTAAACGGAACCGCACATTAAACGAGAGCGCAAACCTTCTACCCTTTTATAGTTAACAGAAAAAGTTCAGACTGTAAAGGTAGTGTTTACCGCGCGTCACCTGCGACCTACGCAGGCGCATTTACAGTAAAATGATTACGAGTGAAATTTCCGAAATACAAAATTAATAGATAGTGTAAAGTACAATAACAAAATATTATAATTACGGAACGAAATTCGCAAAAAATCTAAAAATTAAAAGGTTTTATTGGTACTGTAATAAAAAAAATTTCGATACAATCGGAAATTTCACTAGAGTGCACAGGTGACACACGAGAAGCATTATATCTGCAATCAAAAATTGTAAATAAACGATACAAAACGACAGTATCCAAATATGGTATATTGAATCCATATGTTTGATACATAATAGGAAAATGATAATAAAAATTTTAATTGATCTTACTTACGCCACCAACTTACTTTGGAACAAATAATTTTACAAGATTTTGACTCCATAAGATGAGTCTTAATTAAGATTTGTCTGAAAGACGCCAATTACATGACGTTTTAACAGGTATAGTAAAAACGAATTATGTTTTACAAAAAATTTTAAAATGTTTAACTGCAAACTACAGTACTTTAGAACGTCCGCTTCCAACTTATTAAACAGATCGAGGCTCTTGTTAATTCCACAAGAAGATTATTTTTTTCGAGATTAAGATTGCTTTCTATAAGGAGGTACGTCGCAAGGAACACAGTTCTATAAATGTTTGTTAAATAATAAGATTAAAAAGCATATTCGATAAATAATTTTACTTGATTTGCAAGTTCTTTGTTCAGTACGGCATTTAATTAATTTGTTTGTTCTAAAGATGAACAGTTGGCATGCATATTTAAGTGGTTACATTTGGAGTCGAGCCTAAATTACATGTTCCAAGTAATCAAAGCTAAGGATGAACCAGCTCAATTAGGTCAAACCAATAAAAAAGAATTATTGATTTATCGCATTGTTTTACTGTTATAATTATTACTCTAGTGCAATTTCTAACATACGTACTATTAACTTCTCAAATGAATAGTTTCAAAAGCCAAGTTTGTTATTTAAAAGTTATTTTATTTTAATGTAATTAGAGTAATTTCTTCATATCTTAGTATTGATCTAATCTAGAAAATGTACTAGAGTCATGAAATAAAATCATGTTATTTACAATATAACGATCAATTAATAATACAGTAATATAAAAATAAGAAAACTTGAGATATACAGTATATTTAAAGTTAATAACAAAAATTTCATGAACTTTTGATTTAAATTTTTTATTAAGTAATTGTATATAAAATATAAAAAAAAATCATTAAACCATTAAACTTATTTAATGCTTATATTTATTAAATAAATGTCAATAAAGTTTATAAAATAAAAATAAAATAAAATAATTTTTAATATTTTTAATTATTTTTTTATTTTAAAAAATATTTTAGTTTTATAAATTAAATTTTAAAAATCATTTTTACAGTAAAACTACATTTTTGTAATTTATAAATTTAAATTAATAGATATTGGTTACTTAAATCAACATTTTACCATAAATTCATAAATAATTATTAATAAAATGAAATACTATTATCATTATATTAATATAACAATATATATTTAAAAGTTTAAAATTATATTTATTTTAAAACTTTAGCAATATTTTTTATTATTCATATATTTTGAACAATTTTTATTATTGTTTATTATTTAAAATTTAAATTTTTTTTTAAAAAAAATTGCAAATAAATATTAAATATGAAACTTTTATAAATAAGATTTTATGGTTATTATATTAAAATTTTTTTTTTTAAATGTTAAGCAAGGCATTTCTCGTGATCTTTATTAATAGAGTAATTGCAATGTTATATAATTAATATTAAGATACTAAGATACATCATTATGTATGTCAGCCTACCACCATTCTAAGTATATTTCTAATAAAAAACCTTGAGGCAAGGAAAAGAGAAAGTAACTACTTAGTTTTGGGGGGCT